TCCTGTCCCTACATCCCTTGTCCAAAGCCCCTCTCCAGGTTTCCTGGAGCCCCTTTAGGCACTGGAGCTGCTCTAAGGTGTCCCCTTGAGGAGCCTTCTCTTCTCCAGCTGCCCCAGCCCAGCTCTCTCAGCCTGGCTCCAGAGCAGAGCTGCTCCAGCCCTCGCAGCAGCTCCGGGGCCTCCTCTGGACACACTCCAACAGCTCCACATCCCTCTTGTGCTGTTCCCCAGAGCTGGATGCAGGATGCAGGGACGTCTCCCCAGAGCAGGGTAGACCAGGCAGATCCTGTTCAGGTGCAAAGCGTGGCCCAAGCACAACTCCCTCAGCTCTAAGTGTCCATGGGAGACACTTGCTGTGTGCTGTATATTGGAATAGGGAAAGTGTCCCAACCCATTCAGTCCTTCCAACTATTGTATTAATTCTGCCTTCACTACACATGCCAGACACTTCAACCAGCTCCATTTCCAAACCAGTCTAACAGTGTGCCTGCAAAATCCATCTTAAGACAGTTTTGGAGGCTTATTATCTATTTGGCTTCCATTTACATTCAAATCTATTTGGGTTACATCAATATTAAACCTAAACCTTATGTTGGCCTCGCACCCAGAACAATTTCATCCCTGGGCACCTAAAGAGCCTCTTGCACACACAGTTACAACTATGATTGCTCAGACCCCTGCAGGTTGTGCTGTGTTCAGGAAGGAGGAACAAGAGACAACAGCAAAATGCCCACAAACATCAACGAGGCCAGGATGTGGCAGCTGGTGTCCTGCAGATATGCTCTGCTCGGGAAAAGTGGGGTCACCCTGTTACAGATGGCTTTGTATTTGCCCTCCTCACATAACAACAGTGTTGGGGATGTCAGCTTGCTTTGTTTCCTGGTGTTGTTGGATCTACACCCTTGAAACCCTTGGAAAGGTTAGTGCCTGGCTTTGTAATATCCACCCCCCTCAGATACCAAGGGAAATTTGCCTGTGCTGCTATCAGGCGCAGCAAAGACCTTGTTATTGTTTTGATCCACTAAGCAACAATTGCATCTACTGTAAACTGAGTGGTAAATTCCAGCCTTCATCCCAGAATACTTCTGAGACCAATAAACTTGGATACATTTGGAAACAGCATTCCTTTATGGATGCATGCCAAGGAGAAACTGGGTGCCAGATGCATCTCCAGAGTAAGACTATTGCCTTCAGTCCATTTACTCCAGGGATGAAGCTGGCTTGGTGTCTTGCCTGAAGAAGTGCTGGAAAATATTGATTCCCATTTAATTAAAAAGCATTCCAAGAGGAATTCAGGGTTTAGAAACGTGCTTGTCACTCAGAAACAGCTTCATACGTGGTAAGGAAAGAGTTTGTTGTGTTTTTTTGCTTTTCCCCTGGCCACATACACAGAGTTATCTCTGCAGCATCTCTGGGCTTCCATCCCCACAGTGTCTCTGGGGCTGTGGTTTGATTACTGGAGGTTATTCCTTTGCCTGCCTCTTTTGTCTGTTGTGCAAGCCAGTTTCTCTGCCCTTAATTCACTCTGTGCTTCTGACAACACTGCATTCCTGAATGGGCCATTCCCAAAGCAGCAAATAAGCACTGCTCTGCTCTCCTTCTCCCTGCCCTAAGCCAAACAGGCTGGGTACTCCTTTGTGCCTGTCTTTAGTTTTACAGACTCTTTGGGTAAGCAACACAACAGGGAGTATCTTAGTTGCTGATCTACTGCCAAACATCCCAGACTGCCATTCCAGAGAGATGGACACGGCTTCCTACAGGCTCTTGAATTAAAATCCTTTCGGCATGTACAGGGATGTGTTTGACTCACATTTGGAAGGTATCAGTGAGATAGCCCCTACTTGAAGACCTTGCTAAGAGGGAGTGTGGGAGGTGAAGGAGGAGAGAGGGTGAGGAAAAGCTTTTATCTGCAACAGTGTTTTGAAGTACAGAATTTAAACCTGGAAGATATTAAGCTTATAAGGATTCATGTGAACAAGGGACTCCCTCTATCTCTGCTGCACTCACTTTGCTTATCTGTATTTCTCACACTTCAAGAACACTGTTCCATGACCACCTTTATATCACTTTATATGCAGCAGACCCCCACCACTCTCACTAGGCACAGCTCCATATTCCCTCTGCTCCTGCTGCTTTTCTTTGTGCCTTTTTCTTACCAGCTTCATCTTCCTCCTGTAAGAGAACCTTAAAACTGCACCGTCACCTCAAGCCTTTCCTCTCTGCCACCTCAATTCCCCACCACGTCCCAGTGTAAGCATCTGTACAAGGACATCTCCATTGCCTCCTGTGCAGATGTGCCAACAAAGACCTTGGCCCAGCTTCCCTGGGAAGGTGCCATCTAGTTGAGACAAATGGCTCTGAGCCACCTCCCACACTGCTGGTCCTTTGCCCACTTTTAGAGCCCAGTTTTTTGTTGTTCTAAAAGTCCAAATCAATGTTTCTTTTCTGGTTTTTTGGGGCCAGAAGTGCCAAATTACAGTGAAAAGCAGCAGTTTCCCCTTTAGCATTTCCAGCCAGAGACAAAAATAGGCAAGTCAGATTTTTCCTGCGAGATTTCCATCCTTGTTCTGGATATAGGGAACATCTCAACGCAAAGACTCATCCTCCAGCGTGGCTGCTCCTGCAGTTTGTGGTTTCACAGCTCTCAGCAATGGATTGTAGGTTTGGTACAACATGGTGCAAATTTACAACACTGAGTAAGTTAGTCTAAAATCAGGATTAATGATAGTGACCCACACACTGGAGCCAGGTTGGGCAGCTTTAGAAGAGGCATCTGAAACATTACACAGAGGCAGCCACCAAAACCAGACTCCAATTCTGCATCCCTGATTCTTGTCCTATATTTGCAGCACAAACAGGACCCAAAGCAAGAGCAGAGCTTCAGTGTGTCATCTCTTCCACAAGCAGTAACTAGGACTAAAAGGCTCCCAACAAGGTCTGTGTGTCAGCAGCAGCAGCCCTGTTTTATGGGTATAATCCAAAGGTCAGGCAGATGAAACAGAAGCACCACCAGTGCCAGCGATGGAAGAAACGCTGCCTTGTTCAGAGATCAGCTCTATGCTCTTCCCTACTGGAAAGCTTCGCCTCCTTCCCACTCGTTTCTTAAACACAGGCATCACTGAACTGCTGGTTTGTGTTAAGGGTTCCTGTCACTTACCACTGTGCAGCAAAGAGGCCAGAACCACCAGAGAAGAACCAAGGCCAGCAGGAGGAAGAGGATCAACAAAGCGATAGCCAGGATGGTCCCATCTGACTGGAAGAGAAACACAGAGAGTGTGTGAGCAGCAGTAACACAGAACTCCCTCCATGCATCCTGTGCATCCTGCTTCCAGGCGAGTGCGTGTCCCAGAGGCCACTGCCATGCTCCATTGATCCTTCAGGCCAAATGCAGTTTTCCTCCTTGCTCAGACATCCAAACGTGGCACCGACTCCCCATTGCAAAGAGCCCCAGAGCTCCAGTTCACTGCCCAGAGAGTTACAGGTTTTATCTTGATCTTCTGAACCTCACACTCGTGTCAGGTCAAAATTACCATAACATCCCTCAGAGTACGGTGAAGGCTGAAAGAAACAGACTTATAGGAGAGCTCACACCAAGGGTTTCATTGCAGATAAAGCTTTCTCCTTTCTCTGCAACCCTGTTCCCCTCTTGCAGCAGACAGTCAAAGCAATGCAAACTTCACTCCAGGCAGAAAGCATGATGTAAGCTGTCCCTGGGCCCACAGCTCAGGTCATCCTGCTCCTCTGAGCAGTGCTGAGGCAGGACAGCTCTGCCACGAGCCCTCCAAGGGGGTTGAATGCACACCCCATCACACGAGACACAGGGGTTTTCACATCACAAGCCATTAACTCTACAAGATCATTTCCTTTCCAAGAGGGATACTTCCCCATTTGAAAAGGCATTTGCAGCTCTCTGACACCAGTTAACACCACAAGCTGCTGCACAAGCCAGCTCCATACAGCAATCAGACTGCTGTGGGTGTTATTTCTTCACCCAAACCAGATGTTCTTGGTTCACATGCCAGCTTCCCTGTGCTGCTCCTACCCAACCTCATCCTCCTCCAAGCTAGGCTAAGCAAGCAGACAGTCCTGACTTATGCCTGTTGGAAATGGTCTTGATGGAAGAGCCAGACACGTAAAACCCTCACCCAAGTGTCAAGATCCCAATGTGCCAGATTAAGGACACACTCAAGAGCAGACTGACCTGGAGGATGGGAAAACTGGGTGCGTGCATAAGTCATAGGCTCATAGAATGTTTAGGGGTGGAAAGGACCTAAGATCTAGTTCCAAGTCACTGCAATTCAGTGGCCAGATGCTCTCCCATCATGCCATAATGGGAAGTGTAATGGAAAAACCTCAATCTGATTGAGAGCATCTTCCAGACTCTTTTCTGGTATAGAAAGAATTTCTGGAGACTTGGATCAAGACAACCTGATCTTCAACACTTGGAAACAACAGTTGTAGCCCACACAGGAGAAGAATTCACCCAAGACATCCCTGGCAATGGAATGTGCACCCCAGCACGAAATAAAAGCTCATTGAGAAGACAGAGCTCTACATGTGGTGCTGTTTCTCCAGACAGACAACATAAAGTCACATCCATCATCTGTAAAATGGAACCTGCTGAGATTCAGTTCTCCAGCAAAGAGCTGAATATCTTCAGGTAGCAAACCCTCACCATCCCCAAATAATTCCAGGTGGATTCATTCATTTTCTCACATTTGAATAAGCATAGAAATATTTTAGACAAATCCAAACTGCATTTGTTGGGATCAGCCACAGAGCATCAAACCATGACTTTAATCAGGAGCTGTAAATTTTGTCTTCATCTACTCAGGGGTGTAAATGGGGCTTTGAGGAAACCTGAGCGAGTCAGACCGGGACGAAGCATGTGAAGCACAATAAATCCCACTATAATCACAGAATCAGCCAGGTTGGGAAAGAGCTTTACAATCACTAGGTCCAACCACCCCCCAGCAGTGCCAAGGCCACCACTAACCCCTGGCACTGAGGGTCTTGTCTACCCGGGCTGTGAACACTTGCAGGGACGGTGACTCCAGCCCTGCCCTGGGCAGCCTGTTCCAATGCCTGAGCACCCTCTGGGCAAGGAATTGTTCCTCAGCTCCAGCTAAACCTGCCCTGGGGCAGCTTGAGGCCGGTTCCTCTTGTCCCATCCCTTGTTCCGCGGGAGCAGAGACCAGTCCCCTCCTGGCTCCATCCTCCTGTCAGGCAGTTGCAGAGAGCGATCAGGTCCCCCCTGAGCCTTCTCTTCTCCACACTAAACCCCCCAGGTCCCTCAGCCCTTCCCCATCACACTTGTGCTCCAGGCCCTGCTCCAGCTCCGGTGCCCTTCTCTGGCCCCCTCCAGCACCTCAATGTCTCTCTTGTAGTGAGGGGCCCAGAACTGACACAGGGTTTGAGGTGCAGCCTCGCACTTAATAACCCAAAGTGGCCTAAACCCTGCTTTTGGGTTGTTTTATCTTTATTTGGTCAGCTTCTGCTAGAATTTAGCTATTGTCCTGTGTACTCTCTGTGGTCTTATACAGCCAGAACCATGCTTAGCTAGAAACCGCTACTCATCCAAACTGAATAAGAAACAAGGAAAAGCGCCTGCTAAAATAGTTTGCAGAAGTTCCACTGACATGTTGAAATCTCCCTCCCAGCCTTACAGCTGCTGAAGAAGGGCTGAAGTGTTTGAAACCTCTGTTTTCATTCCTTCCTTTCTCTTTTAATCAGAATTTGGAACTACAACATAAATGTTCATGGAAACACTGAGCCATGGAATAACGCACGGAGCTGTGTCTGACACTGAAAACAGGCTCAGTTCAGCTCAAGAGAACAACTTTTGCTGACCTTCAAGCAGCTCCCAGTGCCTAAAGGGGCTGCAGGAAACCTGGAGAGGGGCTTTGGACAAGGGATGTAGGGACAGGACAAGGGGATTGGCTTTTAGACGGCGAGATTGAGATGAGTTCTGAGGCAGAAGCTCTTCCCTGTGAGGGTGCTGAGGCGCTGGCACAGGGTGCCCAGGGAAGAAAAACACTTGAATAGGATAAACCATTTTGTTTCAAATGCTCTGTTTCAACTTCCATGTTAAATGGGACTTTGCTCTGAGCAGTGCACACACGTGTAGAGGCTCCAGCACATGTTCTAAATAACTTCAGTATTGACAAAGGAAAACCTCTGCAGCCACAAGGTATTTTGGTGTTTCCCAACTAAAGCTTTTCCAAACTTCCATTCTGTGATTCTGCCCCCACCTCCAAATTCATTGGTCTCTTCTGTGAATCCCTGCTTTCCAAACGGTAGGAATTCTAGAATCCTGGAATGGTTTGGGTTGAAGGGAGCTTAAAGCTCATCCAGCTCCAACCCCTGCCACGGGCAGGGATACCTTCCACTAGAGCAGGTTGCTCCAAGCCCCTGTGTCCAACCTGGCCTTGAACACTGCCAGGGATGGGGCAGCCACAGCTTCTGTGGGCACCCTGTGCCAGCGCCTCAGCACCCGCACAGGGAAGAACTTCCCCTTTCCAGCTGGAAGATGCTCCTTTTTAGAAGCACCATCCCCAAGCCCTCCTCCTGGAGGAACACGGCACGACTCAGGAAGACACCCATTGTGAACAGGAGACACGTGGCAAATAAAGATGAGTTTCAACCAGTGCTAGTCCAAAGCAGGCCTAATATCCTGCCACAGAAGTGTTCCCCCAGCCCACATGTGAGTACCTCCATCATCTCTTCTCCTTGAGAAGAAGCACCGTGTGTTTCTCACCCAGTGATACAGGGAGTGTAGGAACATCACTGAGCAATACCCCTGCTCTTCCCATCGGGAGCTGCCCAGGAGGACCAGTTCTGGGCTGCCACTGCAGCTTCACCTCCCTTCCAGTTCTGAGGCTGGGAGCTACCAGTGCCAGAGGTCAGCAGTGGGATTTCCTCTTCTGGGACCAGTTGAGAGAATGAACAAAGACTTATTTTAATTCTCATCCTGGCTCCTCTCCGAGATGCTCTTTCTGCACTGCAGAACTTGGCAGCAGCAGAGTGGGACTCACTTCCTGCCTTCATTATTGTTTCCTCTATTGGACATTCCTTTTCCTGAGCACACTTGGTGTGAAACCTGCTCCAGCCACAGCTGCAGGTGGACAACTCCATAACCAGCATCGAATACTTCAGCCCTCTTTTAGTTCTACAAACATGGGAACAGGAGTAACCCCCTTGTTAAGGGCTTCCCAATTCACCAGCATCACTTGCTGCTACTTCAAGCAGTCACCGCTGCAGCACACACTCTGCAGGCATTAGTGGGTGACAGCAACACACACGGAGCTCAAAGCACTAAAGCCTGATGTGGAGCAACTTCACATACCAAATTGGTGCTATGCTGGGACTAATAGGTGTGATTAGTTTTACTTAGTCTTGGCTCTAGCAAGGCTGCTCAGCTCCCAATGCTGTTACAATAGGGGGTTATGTTTAGCAGAGAGTGAGCTCTAGTTCTTGATGCCTTCAGCTGTCAAAGGTCCACGGAGTTTAGCAGTGGGATGAACCTACTTTTAAAACTTCCATCATTCATTACCTGCCACCCAGTGAGGACATTCTGACTATGGAAGTGGTGAATTAATTCCTTGCTTTACTTGTGTGCAGCTTTTGCTTTACCTGTTAAACTGTCTTTATCAGAGCCCATGAGTTTTCTCACTTTTAGCCTTCAGGTTCTCTCCCCCATAGAATCCCAGCCTGGTTTGGGTTGGAAAGGACCTTAAGATCATGAAGCTCCACCCCCTGCCCCAGGCAGGGACACCTTCCACTAGAGCAGGGTGCTCCAAGCCCCTGTGTCCAACCTGGCCTTGAACACTGCCAGGGATGGGGCAGCCACAGCTTCTCTGGGCACCCTGTGCCAGCGCCTCAGCACCCTCACAGGGAAGAACTTCTTCCTTATCTCCAACCTGAACTTCCCCTGTTTCAGTTTGAACCCATCACCCCTTGTCCTGTCACTACAGAGAGTGGTTGTGTGGGGCTGAGCTCCTGGCTGGGATTAAACCACAAGACAAGGAAGCCAAGAGACAAAGTCATCACATACTTCCAGCCAGCTGAGCTTTGTCATAGTGGAGATGCTGGCATCTGATCCCCCTTATATAAACAGCACACTGTCTCCAAACCTTAACAACACTCATTCCAGCCATTCCCCTGCTCTGCTGGGGCAGCTGCCAGTGGTCCCATAGCCCAGGCCAAACAACACCCTAAATTACACTCAGGACAGCACTGTCTTAGTTTAACTTGGTAATGTGTAAGTTAGGGGGGAGCAGGTTTAAAGTGCTGTCTGCAGCCCCTGATTTAGCGTTACCTCTTGCTTCTGAAGAGCCCAGGCTCTGTCAGCAGCTTTACCAGAAGCCACTCACTAATCCTCAGTCTGGGCTGTGCAATCAGCAGAGCCTCCGAGTGACAAATCACATTGGCCATGCAGAGGGAGGGTACAAGTGAGCTGATGTTTACATGGAATATCACCCTGCCCTCAGCTAGAGCTGCGTCTGCATTCCAGCATCTAACAAAACAAATGCTCTGCCCCTTTACTAACCTGGTTCTATCTTCTTGTTCTCTCTCTTTCACCCTTCTTTGAGGCAAAGGCTGCCTATCCCATGCAATTCCACAGCCATTGCCAGACAATGACAACGCCACCTTTAACTTCACCTTCACCCCTGCATGAGACAAGGGAGTCAGGCTTTGTCCTGACTGATGCTTCTTGATGCACCAGACAGACCCTGCATGTGGAGTTTCACTGTTGTGATACTCATCCCAAGGGATTTAAAAGGGCCCCTTATGTGTAACCAACTCTCCTGCCTCTAAAAACTCACATTGGAAATCCTGGAGAACAGTAAAACAAAACCCCCAGAGGCCTCCTATGGGTTGTTTCATACCTTGGGCTTAAATGGAGACTTCACTCCCCCCCATCCAGCCGAGATCACCATTATGTGACTGCAAATGGACTTTAAGATGGAACTACTGAAAGGTTCTCTGCAACAAAAGCATCTTTACAAGCCTCTCCCACACTCCTTCTGTTTTCTTCTGTTAAATAAATGAAGTGCATTCCCTTTCCCCAGAGGGAGAGAACTGCGGTGGGTACAGGAAGACCCGGAGGCTTGCTTAGAGAACAACAGCTAATACCCTTCTGGCAGTATTATTTTGGGAACCCAAACCAGCAATTCCTTGATTCCCATAGAAAGAACACAGTCAAGCCTGTACTTAGATCCTGGAAAGCATGAGTTAAGCAGGGGCAGGATACAGCAGAACCCATACAGTTTACCTACTGACACTCTTTGCACACTTAGGGGGTGCAATCCTTGAAGCCTGCCACATTTCGGGAAGCAGAAGCCAGGGAAAAGGAGGAGTCCCTCAAAGCACAACAGATACCCACAGTCCAGGCAAATGGATTCCAAAGTGCCTGGATTTTAGAAGCTCCAAAGCTGGTTTAGCTTTACATAGGACAAAACCCCAAACCCCCATCCAGGGTCCAAGCAGTGAGGTCTAATTTGGTGTGATGGATCTGACAAGTAGCACCACTTAATGCACCCCAGAGAAGTGGCCTCGATGGTGAAGCCTGTGCTATAGTTTTCAAAGCAACCAGTGAATGTTCCTGCACCTCTGGTTGGATGCAGGACCTGGATTTGAATTCTGGCTGCACTGTGAACCCAGTTTCACTGTCTGGAGACATCAGAGGAGTAGGCACTCCTCTTCTTTGCCATAAAGCACAGGCAAAGAAGTTTCCTTACAGGAATTCAAACAATAGCAAAGGGCAGATACTTCACCTTCTATAACCTAGAAATAATCCTTCCATCCCCAGAAAGAAGCCTATCAGGAAGGAGTAATTTTTCTCTTAGAACTCTGCCCCAGGTCTTGCCTCATATGAGCAAAACATAGGAAAATATGCCTGTAATCTGCTGACAACACACGAATGCCAGTGAGCAAAGAGAACTTGAACCAGAAAAATTAACTAATCGAATTAATTCCCTTCTTTAAAGGCATAAGGAAGTCGTTGCATGGTTTGGAATATAACCCCTCCTGTAGGCTCTGAGCTGTTTCCATACAACCCGGTCCTCGCTGAACAAACAGCAAGATCAAGGGACACAAAAGACTTCTCATCTTGTGCACCAGCCTTTGTGGAGCGCAGCAGACTGCTGGTAACTCGTGTCCTACAACACAGCCTTTCACTTGCTTTGTGTGAAACAAAGCCCACGGACCTGCTTCTTGTGCAGTGGACAAGCAGATAGAGACACCTCCAGGCTGATGGCTGCTGGTCCTGTTCTGGTCTGCATCCTATAGCAGGGTCCATGGTGCTTACTGAAGACTCAAGAGCTTTGCCAATGTTATGGCACACACAATACATGTCATATTAGCACACTCACAAGAGAGAAACGGGTCCTTTGCACACCAGGCTTCCACAATACTTAATACCAGTGTAAAATATCTACTGTTAAGTCCCACCATCCTGGTAAAACCCCCCCACCCTGCTGAATCACTGTAGACACAAGAATCAGAACTTACACAGTGTGTGCTGGAGATGATGACGGAGCTGGAGATGAAGCTCAGACCATCGTTCATGCTGACCTGAAGAGCTGCTTCCCTGAAAAACACCCAAACCACAAGAAACAAGTCAGAAACAGGTTAGAGTGAGGTGACAGAGACTCATTCTCCCACAGGAAAGTAAAACACATACATGCCAACTTCTCGCAGCACAGGTGCTGGGCACAGTAAGTAGGTATCTTCCACTACAAAAGGCTTCTCATCTGGAAAATAGAGATATTGGGATTTATTTACCAGATCAGCAATACAGGCCTTCAAGACCAAGCTTAATTCATGTTTTCCCTCGCTCTTGATGCATAAATAGGATCAAGCACTGTGTAAGGGGTAAAAGTTCTGCAGGGCAGCTGTTTGGTGACTGTAAGTATGCTTACAAGGGGTTGGAGCTGGATCAGCTTCACCCAGCTCTATGGTAAGGACACATACAATCATTTCCACCAAGCACTGTAAGCAGATGCTTTTAGCACATACTATTCCTTTGCCAGCCCCATACTATCCAGATTCCTTCCTCATTAACAGAGAGGCAGACAAGAGGCATTTAAAGCACAGGATGGAGGGGTACGATGCGCACCCTTCGCTTCCCACTGCCAGGAGCACAGGCACTGGGTTGATGATGAGCTTGCATCACACACATCTGTTTTGCAATGGAGTTACCAAACCAAACCAGCAGCTTTCCCCACCTTGCACAAGCAAGAGGAGCACAGTGGTGGTGAATCTGGTTCTGGATCTCTTCTCACCCTGATTTATGAAGACATCATTAAATCCCTTCAATTTATGGCATTGTCTCAACACACACATGCCAAGAAAATAAAGACCAGTGTCTTGTTTTCTCCCTCACTAACACTGGCAGCAAAGGCCAAAGTATCCTCCGTGCCAGCATTCACTAAAACAAAGTTGGCTTGATTTCACAAGGCCTTCTACTTCGATGCCATTAGCTTTTTGTTTCTCTTTCTCTCTCTATTCCCACCCATAACTCCCATGGAAGTTGTGCCTCTCTACACAGTTTATCAGAGCTGGGTCCCAGGAGGGAGCTCATGGCTGGCTACAGGGAGAGATGATTTTGCTTGGAGAATGTTTGTGTTTCACCACAAAAATGAGAGCCTCTTTTCCTTTGCTCTAAACAAAAGAGGATCCATTTGGTTTGCATAACTCCAACCATCTGACTCCTTCCTGGAAAACTTACATAGGGAACCCAAACAAAACAACACTCCTCATCTGCTGCTACATCTCTATCTGCAGGATGCGCCTGTAAAACGCCGCTTCTCTTGCCTGCTATAGAAGGAACTCGCCGTGTTCTGGCATGGGAAGAGATGGGCCTGAAGGCTCCTGAACTGCAGCTCCTCTGCCAGAATGGGAATTTTGTGGTTTGGCCTCCACTCAGCTGACAACACGAGTGGAAGAGCTATGGAAGGCTGGGAGGGGAGCGCTCCACTCCATGTCCCTGCTGCCCAG